GCTCGTAAAGGGAAGTGAACCATTTGTTAACTTGGCAGTTACAATAACTATAAAAAATCATGATATTTCTCATTACTTAGAAACTTAAATGATTTTTCTTTGTTATGAACCTGATACTTTTGTTTAACTTCGTGGCTGAAATTTGGAATAAGAAAATAAATTCATACTTTAAATGAAACAATAACTATTAACGATTTATTTTAACTGCAAAAAGGTGAATTGATATCCTATCTTGTTTTAAGTAAAGTAATAATTAATGTAATTAGTAATTTCTTTTAATTTCATATATCTGTTTTTTGTTATTATTTCAGTATTTGAAGCAAAATCAAAATAATATCATATAGTGACACTACATTCTAGTTAAACTGATACACCGAATAGCGATTATTGAATAAGCAATAAGAATCGGCCTATTTTCGAAAGTTTAAATATAGCACCTTATTCTTAAGCTTCAGAAAAAGTGCAAATGATAAAAGAGAAGCCAGTGATGAGATAAGATAACGCGGTAAGAATGAGAGAAAGGAAGTCAAGCTACTCAATTGATGAAAATGAAAACTGATAAAAAATAAAATCAATTCTGAAATTATTTGCTTTAACATTGAGGGCAAAGATGGATTATAATTAGGATCGTTTCATTTCTTGTTAACAATCCAATTTGTAAGTAAGTCCGTAAATGGAGTTTAAACTTAAGAAATATAACTAATAGAAATATAACTATATATTACATTTGAAAATGCTGAATCTTCAACTTCTATTATGGTACCAGTCACAAAGCCAGAAGCATTATACTATTATACTTAATTATATACCTCATATGAAAATTTTCGCATGCCTAAGAAATGCCATTTGCATCTCGAATCTATCTGTATGAGAAGTAAGTTTTATGATTGACTAACAAGTACTTGCATCATGAATCCATATATTCATATGTTCAAACGGACCAGCTACCTAATTGCATATATCTTGATATTGTGAGGACAGGGGTAGGAAGTTTTAATCGGATTATGATGCTACTTAGTTTTCAAATATGTTCAAGTGAAACATGATCTTGTTTCGAAAGCTGACAAGGAAAAACGCCTATGGTTCCGCAGCTAGATCAGTTTCACTAAACACCATGGTAATCGCTTTTACAAGAATCAGTCAATTCACATTTATGCTGATGGTTTAATGAAGGACAAGACATTGGTAACAGAGCTAGTGTACACAGCAGAACGTTTTATTTTTACAAAGCAGTTAGTACTAACACTACTGGTTTTGATGATGAGTTAGAAGCAATTCATATGGCTTTACAACAGCTCTATTGTCGTAAACCCACCTTTTCTAAAGCCATCATCCTCTAGGGCTCTTGCCATGAACAGAATATATGGTTCCAAACTTATTTATGAATGGCATAGCTTCTAAAAGATCTTGAGGAGTCCTATAGCGTTACAGTGGATGCCGGCTCATTCTGGACTACAAGAAAACGAGAATACAGATTTATTGTTAAAGAAAGAAATACCTGTTTTCCAGAAGCCGAAATATACAGCAGTCAAATATATATTATCTTTACTTCTGCAAAGAAACCGATAAACACAGACTTAACAAAATTTATGACTCTCTACTTTGTACGTTAAGGCTAAGCAAAAGACTTCGCAATGTCTCTTGGGCAGGGGGTAGATACTCATCGTGCTACAACTGTGGCATCGTTATGAATTTTATTTAAAGATATTATAAAATTACCATAATATTAGTACCTTAGTGTTCGTCTATTTGGCATTATACTAAAAAGTTATGCAGTGATCTTGAACTTTATGAGCATGAGCTCTGCACTTGATGATTTTAATTCTGTAACTCAGAATTATTAGAAGGCAAGGTGACTATCTTACTACTTTAAACGACAAGTTCTTTTAACATGGATCCAAGCATAGCAGTAAAGCCCAAATATTTCATTATATAAGTTGAACATTAATGTAACAGGTTTCTGAAGAATCTTGCAGATATAGAAATGTAATTTATTGATATTGAAATAACAGAAGCATATATTCTCTCATTCATTTCAAAGTAAAACCACTTGTTTCAGATCAATAATCTAAAACATACTGCAAAAAAATCGCCTAGCTTATAACATTTGAGAACGGAGTTAGTACAGAATTTCCCTAACATATAACCCCTTACACACCAAACTTATTTCGGCTCATAAAAATACATTATTATCTAAAAGTAAGTATTAAATAAAGGTAAGTCAAATATATATTTCCGATTTTTCACATTATATTTCAACCCCCTTCGGAAATGAATTTGCTGCAGCCAAAAGGGGGAACATAAAAATCCAAATTTATAACGTAGGGTGTAAACGGGCAGTAAAACTGATGGAAAAAAAATACTATCCTCATTTTAACCCTCTGCAGTAAGTATTTCTTCGCCTTGTAGCTTATCTGGAAAATACTTGAGAAGGCAGAAAGGGGCTCGTATTACCTTTAAAATGGTTTTCGAATAAAACCTTAGAGAACGGTCCGTATTCTCATATTGACCCGACTGCATATAATGCTTAATGGAGCGACTGCAATAAAGGACATTGCTGTTAGAGGCTCTAAGCTTATACAAGTGGGAGGAGAAGCAAGTAGCTGGCAGTACGGATAGTCATTAACTGTGATAGCGTGTATAGATTTATCGGATTTGAAGGTGCCATTCTGAATAAGAGGTTTTAGGGCGACCTTGGAAAAGTATTTAGATGCCTAATTTTAGGCGATTAATTAATTAACTCTCTTTTTCTCTTTTTTTTTCTTAATTCTCCTTTTTCTAATGCAGGAAATTCGCTGATGGCATATCGAATTTTTAATTAAAAGAAACATACAATTATTTTAAAAGGTACGAACGAGAGGCGACATACGTTTGCATTAACATGTATGCGTAATACATTTACGAAGTTTAAGAGTATGCATTAATTCATTGTTTAATATTTGCAGTAAAATCCCAATTAAGTAGGGTATTTACGAAAACGATGTCTACGGTTCGACCGCGGATAGCTAAGAAACCTCAGAGCAATCACAGGTATTAAGGTTTACAAAATTACACTTATTAATTATTTACTTGTATAATAATAATAATAATATAATTAGAATAATTTACATATATTTCTCAGCAGTTTAATCTGGAGATTAAGTTCATTTAATTACATAAAGTAAATCAGTAACCAAAGTTATTTCCCGCACTGGAGCACGCTTGAGCTCTCTTTTGTTCTCTCTATTTCTTCCTATCCCTGTTTATATGCTGCCCAACCGGTATAGTGGTTAGCCTAGCTAACCTATGCGCCGAAGGGCCGGGTTCGAGTTCCGGAGAAGGCATGGATGCTTGTAAATGTATAATGTCGCTGCGGCATAGCGGCACTCTAAATATGCGCAAGCCGAAAGTTCTCTCGTTTGGTAAAAGAGGAAATGGGTGAGAAACCCTCGGGTCCGTCCCCCCGTAATGCTCTGCATCAAAATTGGGGGGCGAAACTTAGCCAAATAACACTGTCACCTGCTAGGTGCTCAAGGCTGTTGCCAACGACAGGCGTAATCTAGCGCTCCTTGCCACGAGGAATTTCGTGGGCTTGGCTGACTACGTTGTCTGACGTGAGCATAAGCAGCAACAACCTGTTTATATTCCTTCCTAAACGATGGTTCATATGTTTTGTTTTTGTTTGCTCTAAAGGAATCAACGTGATATAATTTATTTTTAAGGAATGGCCTAACAAAGTTTATTTCATCGTTTAGCGCACACACCTTTTCCCCTTGTTATGTTTTCCGAAGACAGTTTTATCTTATGCTATTAGTTTATGATAGTTACTTCTCCATGGCTTTGCATTGAAAAAGCTTAACTTTTTAAAATAAAGCCCGATTAGTTCACCGCCCATTTAACCGGCCTCTGAATGATCGGGGTTTGTCTACAAAATAAGGATTTAATCTAGGTCTAAATTAACGATTTTGCTCCATCATATGTTGAAACCAATCATTATAGTTTAAAATTACCTTATTTCCCTCAGGATCCTGCTCACTAAGTCTTCCACTTCTATTTTTGTTCTCTTTTTCTTTCATTATTTTAAAAGGAATACCGAGATTCGAATTTGAGGTATAGCGGAAGGATTGTAAGGACATCAGCAAATATTTGAAGAATTTAATTCCGCCAATTTTCAACAAATGAACTTTTCATATATTTCTATTTACGCAGATTAAATCTGCAATGGAATAAATAGTGTGTTTCTTTTTCTTTTGCAATACTTTGATTAATATGAGTAATTTCTAACAGAAATTTAATCAACAATTAAAGAAAAATTCGTACTTTTTTATCATTATAAATATGAGATCATGTTTTCAAATTTTTGCTTTATTACGTTTTAGGATATTTCACAAAGCAGAAGCAGTACTGAATTCTCTTGCCCGTGCATTTTAATTCAGTTTTTTTTTGGGGGGGGAATTAAGTCCCCCGAAAGTTTTATTAAAAACAGTAAAAAATTAGTGCAGTTTTACCTTCCAGAATGCCATATAATCAAGAAAGATAAAACAATCAAAATCTTTTACACAGCAGATAAACACACAAATATTCCTTACATTAATCTTAAAAGCGACTAGTTAGAGATGGAAGGTAATAAGTTCATACACATATAAGTTCATAACTCATCTATAAGTACTTTAGCCGTCTGCCCATATTTAGGTGCGGGAAAGCGAGTTAGAAAGGCTGTTTTAAGAAAGAGGAAGTTGAAATTTTTAGTGCGGAGGTATTCAAAAAAGCTTTTATATTTCGGAACCTTGGAAAAAACACAATAATAGCAGCAATATGGTCAATCCTTTACGTGGCAAAAAACTGAGCTCCAGGCAGTATTACAAATGCTCATTAATTTTAATGATTATACCGATAGTGAGTTTAACAAGAAGCCTGAAAGTACACCTTTTTAAGTTTAAGCTGTAATTATTTGCCCTTTTTTTAAATATATATTTGCAAAACTATAGAAGAAGCATGCATATTTTTAAAAAATAACTCACATTTCTGCGCCGTGGAGTGCAGATGCTGATGTATAAATAAGTACTTATGGTTTTCAATTCATTCAGTTTTCAGTGCCACCTAATGACCTAAAGTAAAAGAAAGAATATGCTCATTAATTTGTTTTAAAATATATGATATTATTGCAATTTATAAGTATTACTTTAACTGAGCATTTGTAAGTTTGGGTTAAAACTAATATGAAGAAAAAAAGGAAACTACTTTACAAGCATATGATACTAAAAATGTTTGGAGCTTTCTATAACGTCTCTTTGACTAGTGTTTTACTCAAAACGTTCGCAGAAACGTTTTGCCCCGTACGTGATACTTACAGTATCTGATTTTAGCAATTAGACGTCATTAATGTAATCTCTAGTACGAAACACATAACTGTATTCATAGAAATAAGTATGGAATTAATATATACAAAGCAATTAAATTCATTCCAAAATTATTTACTCGCTGTTCCTACTAATATTTTACCACAGACTTATTCCTAATTTCAGCTTCTTATAAATATTTGAATGTAACTGAATACTTGTTGGGCTGAAAAAACACTGGCAATTTTTCAACATCTTAGTCAAAAAATATTATTAAAAACCAAATATAAATTAGCGAATTAAAGGAGAAAAACTAAAAATATTGCGATATTAAATGCAGCTGTGAATATCGTAAAAAATACTTATTTTTTATACTTTTATTTATGCTATTTACTTTGCTACACTTATACTGATTACTTTCCTAAAATTTAAAGAGAGAGATTTTCTAAAATTTAAGAGATTTTTATCGAAACAAATAAATATAAGATTAAATGCATTTGGATTTATAGTTCATTATTAAGAATGTTATTAAAACATAAACAAGCAGTTGGTGATTTATCCGACGAATTAAATTTATCAGACAATGAAGATGACAAAATCACAATTTCTCAAGGAAATTTACAAAATGGGATTACTTAGGAAATATTTCAGCTCATATGTGCCTAAATTCAGGCGGTATTTCCTATTTTTGTCCTGTTAACTAAATATTACGGATTACGAACCTTATGGTTTCTCCTGTAACTTTTTGCCGAATTTTCATTTTAAAATTAATATCAAAAGTATTTGAAAAAAGTAGAAAATATGCCTAAGAAATACATAAACTTCTCAAAACATGGTAGGAGGAAAAAACTAAATTCTACTTTTGCCCACTGAAATATTTCTATAAATTTCGATGAGCACAAATCCTTTTCTATCCTTTTCCACTGGTTAAAAATTTCAAAATACAAATAGTTTATTTTCTTTATAGGGAGCGAAAAAGAAATTCTTCCTCCAACTTGTATTATCACAGCAAAAGTTATGAATCACAACAGAAACTAGGTCTGCAGAGTTTTATTCTGAGGATCTTTGACGACACCAGCATACATTTTTTAAAATATATTTGCCACACTATTTTGGACTTTTCTATGAAAAGCCAAATAAAATGAAAATTCTTTTGGGAAAACCAAATATTTCCATTATTTTTAGGATTCAAGCCAGCATTCTGTAATATCATTATTTAAGAAATTTTGATTTGCACAGGTACGAGCAAGAAAAAGAGCAATCCACTTTCAAAAGAAAATGATTTATGCAACAATTCCTAAGAAAGGTTTTCAAGTTTATTCGCTTGTCAGAGTTACTAGATGGTTTAACAGCCAGAAAAATAATCATTGTTTGCGAAGTCTGAAAAGGTTGCAGAATAATTTAACTTGGAAGCTAACTACGTTTGACATACGGAAGGAACTTTCATAGAAATACCTATGTTTATGGTAAAATTTTGAGTGTTTTCATCTTGAAAAGATAACCATATTTCATACAAATACGTTTTATAGGCATGAAATCTTCAGTTGTGAGACGCAATACAAGAAATTCCCAAATGTGAGAATGATTTTGTTTGAAGAAAACAGGCATACCTAAATATTAATAAGTTCAGAGCATGAATCATTAAGATTATGGTAGAAGGCAGGTTTAAATAGTTAACCATAATATATTGATAGGAGTAACTAAAATGATCTAACCTATCAGGAAACTCAAAAGAGAATTATACTGTATTAGCTAATTGTATACGTTACACACGTCACACTTCTGTTTAGTTTTTTAGCTTCGTAAACATTTACATTTGTAATTTCAAAAGAAACACTTCAATGTAAAATTCAAAATTATAAGAAATAACATTAGTTTGGAGAAGATTTTGAAGAAAATTCCATTGATTTCGAAGGCATACATTCATGGGTTCCTTCTTGCTCAGAAACGAAAACATTTTGGCCAAAAATCAGTTTAGCTGCTGAGGTTAATAGTTATGAAAATTTATTTATTACTTTTTAGTTGTTATATAGTTTTGGTAATTATTTTATGATAACTTTGTTGCTTTTTGCTTCAATCTAAAATCAATTGCATTTTGTGCCTAATTTTAAATATTAATTCCTACCCGATTTTATAAGTAGTGCTGGGAGAAATTCCGGAAAAGCATAGTTTAATTGAATTCTGAATTCATAATTATATTTTAAATGACTTCACATTTTCCCTTCCTTTCAATACCAGAAACACAACCAGTTTCTTTTAAAGGAATTAGTTTCTCAACGCGAAACCAGTATCCTTAAAACGTTCTCCTCGAAGACATCTCTACCCATAGGCAGATAACCCCCTACTGCTGCACACTGGGTTATCTTCTAAATAATTAGTTCAACCTGATTAGAATTGAACATCGTATGATTTCATTGTTTTGTTTAGATTTAGCTCTTCTAAGGAGAAATAGTCTCTCCCAACAACACCCCGCCCCCAAAATAAATAAGAAATTATTTTCATTTAGTCTCACGGCATTTTTTTGTTGTGTTTTATTTCTTTATCTGCGGAATTTTTTTTGGGGGGGGCATCATGAATCTTTACTTAAAGGATTTTCGATTACTTTATCGAAAATTTCGATTTCGATAATTTTCGATTACTTTACCGAAAAATCCAAATGGCTGTCGATTTTTTTAAGTCAATATCCCTTTTATGTCGCCTCTGACGATTTTAATTTTAAGCTTTCATAAATTAATTATCATAACTATAAGTTACTTACGTAATCAAAGGTTTATAATTCTTCCTATATAGTCGTCACTGCAAGACTTTTAATATTTTTAAATTTTCTAAAGTTTTAAAACCATTTAAATTCGTTCAAATGTTATATTTCTTGCTTTATATATTATTATATAGGAATTCCAACGCAAGAGGTCAGTTCTGCTGCGCAGTAGGTCAGTTGACATAATTAATCCATTCACCGGAGTGGAAAGCAATTATCAATGTTGGTTTGTGCTATCTACTTGGACACTTGTGATCTGCGCATGAACGCGGTTCAGAATGACACAAATATAGTTCAATGATACGCTCACCTATGACATACATGGACGAGGCATGATGTCGGATATCTATTACCAATATTTAGAACCACAGATAAGTCGCTTCTTATGCAACATTAATAAAGATATCAGACTTCAGTTTTTCTAACACTATCAGAATCGAAGCAATAATTTTATATCGTCATATATTTGAAAGAGATTTGATTACATGAACAGTGGGAGTTGTAAGATTCCCACTTTTGAGTTACAACTAAAAATGAGGAACCTTTATAAGGTATTTCTTCCGCTTTCCTAGCGTGCCTTTGTGGTGTAGTGGTTCTGCACACTGGGTCGTTCTTCCAGAGGTCCGTGGTTTGATTCTCGGCGAAGGCGACTGCTCGTTTTTCATTTTGCCTCCTTCCGAAAAATCCTAATGTCTCCACAGTGGCACCCGAACTGAAAAGGTGGTGGATGATGATTTCTCCTCACCCAGGATTTGGCGATTGGGTCCCATAAAAACCCCAGTAGCCCTTTAAAAAAGGGAGTATATAAGGTATTTCTCCCGCCTTCCTAGCTTGCCTTCGTCGTGTAGTTGTTCTGCACGCTGGACCAGTATTCCAGAGGTCCGTGGTTCGATTCCCAGTGAAGGCGATTGCTCATTTTTCATCTTGTCTGCTTCCAAAAAATCCTAATGTCTCTGCACCTTAAGAACTGGTAAACGAATAATCCCTTAGTTCAGTAGACAGAGAGCAGAACTCAAGAAGATTAAATACCGTTTATTATTCAAAATAAATTTAACAGTGTACTCATTCTTGGAGTTTACAGCAAAGCCTCCACTTGGCCTTGAATTCAGGAATGCTAAGAAATAAAACTTAACTAATTTTAACTAAAACGATGTAGCCGAAGCTATCAATATTCTACTAGAGTTGGCCCCTTAGCGCTAACTAACGGCGAAGCTATCAAGGGGCTAAAGAACGGCCGATCGTAAAAATAGCTTGGAGAGAGAGAGTAGCCTAAAATACGAACGCGCGCCGCTTATTATCTCTGGCTGTCTAACGAAGTCAGTAGAACTTCAACATTAAATACTTACTCTTCCTTCATTTGTACTTAACCGCGCTTCTAAAATCACGTTCTGGCCGTTCTAAAAGCACGTTCAAGTTGTAAGCTGAAATAAGCGATAGGAAAGTAAGAAGCGATAGGCATAAACTAAACATTAACTGTTATAAACTTAGGAAACTTTAAAACATTAACTGTTATAAACTTAGGATAAACCTTACAGAGTTAAGTTAAATAAATGACAGAATGAATGATTTCTAATACTGTGATCATATTCAAGTTGGAAATATATTCATGATTGATATATTACTCTTTATTCTGAGGCACAACTGCTTATTATTATTTGTAAGTTTACATTTTTATTGGCACATATCCACAATTTATTTATGCATTCTTAATATATCCCTCCTGAGAATCTTTTTCAATAACATGTAATTTTTATGTTAACTCTTTCCTGAAACTTCTGTTCCGTCCATCGCCTCACTAGAATACAAAATAAATGGAGCTTTAATAATGACAGAATATGTAATTTATGGAGAAATCCTTTAATTACCCATTAGGGTAGCAATTTTATTTCTGAGTTCCTGAACACTCACTAAGACCTATATGCCATTTTGTGTCTTATTAAGTGTTCTCTTCTGTTTATTAAAGCTTACTCTTTTAGAGGTATCGAATAATTTGATCCGGGTTGTTAAGCCT